CGTAGGAATAGTGACAGTCATGCATTTTTAATATTAGTTTAAATACACTAGCGTTCAAAGATTTGTGGTCAGTATGATAGTAAGACATTTTGTATTTTTTATACAGTTTTTACTGTATTTTTGATTAAATAAATGCAGCCTTGAACACTTGTTAGAATGTTGACAATTGCACATTTTTGATATATTAATATTACCATGTGCTGTTTGTATTTGTATGTTGTACTTTTTTGCTGTTTGAAACTTTACAATTATGACATTACATATTTTAATTTTCATGTAACAGCCAGTATTTGCATCTGTATTTGTATCTGTAACAATCACAAAATTATTCGTATCTGTATTCGGATAAAACCAGGTGGAACGTCATACAGTTACTTGATAAGACCGTTATGAATATCTTTTTTTTTCACTGAGCAAATATGCCGTGTTAAACTAAAATAATTATTCATTTCTAAAAATATATTTATCATACAAGCAGAGAGATGTCATGACAAACGTTTAGTGATCATTTGAACACAACTTTGCGCACATTTTCATTACGCAGAATCCTTTAAGCGAGTCTTTTTTTGAACTTCACTAAACAAATGTGCGTGTGCCACGCAAACCAGCAAAAGATAAAGAAGTAAACATGTAGGCCTAGTAGAAAATGTATCTGTATCTTAGATGATTATTGGCCTACTATTGAGAGAGTGCTGGTTTGGTTTTTGAGAGACTGAGATGCGCAAAGCGGCTGTTTGATTGGTGAGCGCGCTGTGTTGCGCTGCGCTGCTTAAATCATTGACTTTTAAATATGCACAAATAATAGAACGTGTATGATGTATTATTTTAGTTGATATTACTCTTGCCAAGCTCTGATTTCTGAGAGATGCACGGAGAGGCAACAACAGTGCGGTGTTTGATATGCGCTATTTTCATTCATAAAGTTTACATTCATTCACTTCACACACTCATTATTGCGTGACTTTAGAGGTCTGTGTATAATATTGCGCTGATCCCCTGGCTCACCTGTTATCTAGCAAACACCAGACTGTGCCAGCCTCAACCGAATATTATTCCTTATTAGAATTATTCCTTATCCGTTATTCGTTTTTGAAGCCATTATCCGTGCCATTCCGAATAAGGTATTCGGCTTCGGGCACACCCCTAATTATTACATTGCATATTTAAATTTTACATGCAACATAGATAAAGTCATAGAAAGTAACAGCTACATGCAATATTGTAATCATAAAATTCACATCGTATTTGCAAACTCTGTGCATGCATTATGGTTAATGCATGCTCGAGTAGTCGATTGTTTCTGACAGCGCCGACTAGTGGTTGAAGTAGTCGATCACTCAACTACTCGACTAGTCTATACAAGCCCTAGTTTGTACAAATACATGCTGATAGATTTTGTAAAAATTTTGACAATAGTGGAATTTTTGTATTAAAACATTTACGTAGTCGAACCGTGTAAGAATGTAGACATTCACACTTTTTTGTTAATACAAATGCATACAGTTCATAGTTGTAAGAATGTTTACAATTACACATTTTAATAAGTGCAAATACATGGTGTATGTCATTTTAAGGATGTTGACAGTCATAATTTTTCATTCGTCCAAGTATGAACAGCATAGCAGTATTTATTCAAATATAACAAATGCATGATTGTCAACATTTCAAGTCCAAATTAGTGTAAACAGTCGTTCCTTGTTAGTATGAATACATTCTACATTTTTTATATATTTGTACAAACTTATGCTGTTTATATTTAAAAGAATGCTGATAATCATGCATCTTTTTGTTTTAGCGTGTAAGAATCTTTTGTACAAGTACAAATAAGCACAGTTCATACTTGAACACATTGTCTGATTAGTAAGAATACGTACTGTTTGCATTGGTAAGAAAGGTTAACAGTCGCTGGTTTTGTATCCTTGGGTAGTTGATATGCTTATGAAATAACAAAACAATGAATATTTGTACTTCAGGACCATTTAAATGTACTAGTGAAGACAAAAGTTTGATTAAAAGGCGAAAAAGAGTTGATGACCGATTGCAGAACCTAAAATACAGAGAAGCTTGTTACCCATGTATAGTATGTTTCCTACAAGTTTTTGAAGCAATTTTTTTTTTCCCCAATTTCTGTCTGTCTATTTTTTTTCTTTGCTGTGTTGTCTTGCCACTTTTGTTCTTACAACTTTTTTTTAGCCTGGAGTTCAGGATTCGCTATATCAACCAGTGAATCTCTCCAGCAACCCGCCAGCACTATCAAACATCTCTCAGGAGCCCAGATATTACCCCTCCTGCTCTGGCAGACGGCTCGGAGTGGACAGGTTGAACCTAACACTCCAACCTTGTTTATGCCCTGTTTAAGTCTTGAATAAATCAGGACAAATCACCATGGATGGTGCTCACTGCTGGGTCGAGTGCGTAAATCCAATATTTTCATACAAAAAAATTCTGGGAATGAGTTTATCATCTTAAATGGCATAACCTTTCCTGTTCCTTCTCTTTTAGTGCCTTTCGAATGCATTTTCAATACTTTTGGGTGCAAATATAACCTGACTTCATGTGTATCTCAGGTAAAATACACACCCAAGGACGCACCAAATCCCACAGTGCTGTTTTTTTTCGCTCTTCGTTTTTGTACTGCGCTGAATCACTCAGCATGCCTTAGAAATGGAAAGGAAATAGTCAGGAAGAGATGTGTTTTTCTGTGGGCTTCTGTATTCTTACAAATCAATTCTAGCTAATGGTTTTAAAAATCAAATGCTAACCTTTTCCTGTGCAGGGAGTGACCTTAGAACTCGGCTTTGCACGTACAGCTCGTACATCACACTTCTTTATAGAGACGGACAGACCCATTGCTCAAGGGAATATATGCCAGCCGTTATTGGATATGTCAAAACAGAGACCTATTTCCTGTGAAAGAAAAGAGAGACTGTGAAGGACAGGGATGAGAAAGGGAACGGAGGCTGTACTGAATGAAAGCTTCATGTCGGGTTTACAGTCTTTTAAAGCATACCGACTGATCCGACATCAGACTTCGCTGCTTGAATTAAACCATGTCTGTTTTACCTCATAGGGGTATAAAGGGTTTAATGCGGTTGTGTGTCTTTATTTGAGGCCTGCATTGTTTGGCAAACAGTAACACGAAGATAGTGGATGCAAAGAAGAAAGATGACAAAGAATAAAAACAATTATATAAGTAATATAATAATAATTTTATGTGTCATCTCTCTTCTTTATTTAATATATTGTAAAATATATTTACATCATTTATTAGAACAAAATAGGATTTTTGCTTATTTTTTAAAGAATTTAATAATACTTTTATTTAGTAAAAATGCATTAAATTCTAAAATGACAGTAAGGACATTTATAATGTTATAAAATATTTCTATACTTCAAAAATGTGTTCTTATGAACTTTCTATTCGCCAAAGAATCCTGAAAAAAAAAATGTCGCACGATTTAGACAAAAATATTAAGCTGCACTTTTTTGAACATTGATAGTATTAAGAAATGTTATTTTAATTTGTATATTTAAATGAAAACAGTTATTTTAAATTGTAATAATTCAAAATTATATTGTACTGTTTATGTACAGTATAATACATATTACTACATATTATTTTTATTTTATATATATATATATATATGTATGTATATTAGGGGTTGCATCGACTAGTCGACTTCAATGCTCTGCCATGACGCTTTAAGCTTGACGTCGACTAGTCGCTGGTCCTATAGAGGGCGCAACAGGATAAGAAATCTTTGAAGGACTTCCACATTTACGCTCCGTTTCCAAACAGTTCAAACTGTGTGTGTATATATATATATATATATATATAATTGTACATTTTATAAAATCACTGCGATATAAAGGCAGTTGTCAGACTTTTTTTTACCATACTTTGTGATTGGTTTCTGATTTAATCTTATAAGATCTAGCTGCATCCAGATAGGAAATAATCCAATTAATGATCATATCATTATGAATGCTTTGATTTTTAAACATTGTCTAAGTTGCAGTTGTGATTTTACTTTAAAAGTGTTAGGGAGACATGCAACCTTTCTTTCAGATACCAAACCCTCTTCTCTCACTCTCACTCTCACTCTTTCTCTCTCTCTCTCTCTCTCTCTCTCTTTCTCTCTCTCTCTCTCTCTCTCAGTCTCTCTCTCTCTCTCTCTCTCTCACTAAACAGCACAGACTGACAGACCTTAATAAAGCATGAATCCTCCTGGAACAGCAGTTCACACTGTTATGATCCCTCTCTCTCTCACACCAGCGACTATAGGCTCCCCTCTCCATCTATCACGCGCTCATTCTCTCTCTCTCCAACACACACACACAGAGACTCAGGGCTAGCAGTCTACTAATATTTAAAGGAATAGTTCACCCAAATTTGTTAAAGGGGTCATATGATGCTTTTTAAAAGATCATTATTTTGTGTATTTGGTGTAACAGAATATGTTGACATGCTTTAATGTTCAAAAAACAAATTTTTTTTTCAAATACTGTACATTATTGTAGGTCCTCTATGCCCCGCCTCTCTCAAACGCTTCGTTTTCTACAAAGCCCCCTCCTT